CGATCTCCCCAAAACCCCAAAACCCCAAATAAACTAGATAAGCAACATAATTGAGAATAAAAAATCAATCATTAAATAGATTCCGATTATTTTTTAGCTGTTAGAGGCCTAGGTCTGATTCTTTTGGATTTGTTTGTTGCAGTTGAACTTTTAATTTGCTCGATTGATTTAGACTGTATATCACTGTCACTCTAAGTCGGTATAAATATACAGGAGTTTTTATCTTTTTGCAAATGACTAATCAATTCTACTTCATTGTCAACAGCATTATATCTCTGTCTTAAAGTCCTAATTACCTTTTTGAACTAGTTCGTAATCACAGGCTAGACTTCTCCACTTATCTTCTCAGGGTTAATCAGACTAATCAATAAAGAGTAAGCCACCTCTTCTCTAAAATTCTTTTCAATCTCCTATATTCTCTCAAGTCTTTCATTTCTCTAAAACTCGAGCTACAGATCCTGGTTTAACTAATTATTTAGAAGCTTTAGGTGCATAGCTTCAATAATCTTAGATGAAATCGCATTTTATATTTGAATTGACTGGAAGGCTGCATCTTCTTTTTGCTTTTTAAGTTTATCAAGCCTTTCAGAGAACATCTACTGCTCTTTCTTTATTTTTTCTGATTAGGTTTAAGTTTCAGATTGGGACAACATAATCTATGATTGTAATTATCTAATCAACTATTCCTCCTAAATCATTTAATCCTTAAAAGCCTCTTTTAACTTGTCCTCATTTTCAATCCTGTATTCTAATACCTATGTCTCACTTTCATACTTTTCTTTTAATAATTTTTTTTATTTTTTCCCTTAAGTCTTAAGCTTCTTGTATTGCTCCTACCAATCTTCATGAATCTCATCGATTTTATTATTGAAATTAATTTCAGTATTCTTCTCATTAGATTCCAAGAGATTAATACAGGAGTTCAGCTTTTTTATATCTGTTCTTTATTGCTTTAAATCCTTTTAAGTAACATTGCACTCATTATCATCAACTAGATTTTGTTATGATATCTTAGAAATAAGCGAATGCCTACATGCTCTATCTACCTGGTGAGTAATAGCTAAGCTTTTATTGTTTGAGGAATTCAATCTATTGGAATAAACTCTATTGTTAATAGAATTTATCATGTTTTACATCTTTGTTGATTTAGCTGTGTGCGGTCTGACTCTTCGCTGAATTGTTGAAGCAGTCATTGCATTTTACATATTACTTGATCTTAAATCATCTGCTGTTTTTCCAAAAGCAGGACTAGTACAAATATTAGTCAAAACTACACTTTATGCATCTTCATTGCCATTCATTTGGTCAAGATTTTCTTTGAGAATTGAATAAGTTTTGTTTTATTATCTATTAACTCTGAGTCGAGGAGAAAGAGTTATAGGCGATTAACTTATATCTTCCTATTCTTTATTCTTTTTCCTCAAGATCCTCTTAGTTTATATCTGCTTATATCCATCTATATTTTCCCCTAATTTAATGAAATTTCTTCATTGTCTTCCCTAAGATTTATTTGCACTCATTGTATCCTCAAAATGTGAGTTTATATCATCTGTACTAGATCTACAATTATTAGTTTACTAATCTAACTACTAATTAGCAAATAGGCCCATTTGATAATTTCCTGTTTTCATGCCAAGTAAATTACGCTTCAAATGTCTAAATAAAGAATTAGTCAGAGGCTTATTAAGAAGCCTTTTAAACTATATTCTAGCCATGTTAATCAAATATAGCTCATCTGTTTCCTAGCTCTTTATAAATTAAAATTCACAACTCTAGATTCTCAAGTGATGCTCACTGATGTATTAAACTATTTCAAGAACTGTTTTATAGAGTAAGGTTTTAAGTGCAGGAGTAAGAGTCGCTATAAGTCTCTCTTCATCATACTTTTCATACTATTTCTCAATTCTTATTGATTCATAATAATCATTTAGTCGATAACTATTACTAGCGTTAATCCAATTAATTACTTACTAAGAGTGAAATTTTGAGACTATTACATCAAATGAAATATGCTGTTCAGATCCTTAGCCTATTTTATTAGCAGAATCGCTGCTCACATCAGCAAAATAGCAATTATACTGACAATCTAACTTAGGAGGAATATAGCCTTATAATGAATAATTCAGATTTGTAAGATCTTAGGTTTCATCTTTATTATCAGTAATGATATTTTGGTCTATTTTGTTTGTAAGCTCTAGAAACTGGGGAAATGTCATCAATTATCCTGACTAGTCGTAGGAGTTTTTCCTTTAATGTCATTTAGAAACTGATGAAGAATGATTTAACTCTTATTCCTGTAAATCTGAGTCATAAACTCTTTGGATACACGCTACATTTGTATTGTTTGTTTTCGCGAAGGTGAAAGACTACTCAACTGATAGTAAATTTATATTGTAAGAATGTCTCTTCAGTATTACTTTTTATTTCTAGAGTGAATAAAACAATAATAAAATTTACATCTGAATACTTAAACCAATCTTATAATTTCTAGCCCTAGAAGACGACTATTTCTGGTATTCTTACATTCTTTAGATAGTTTTAATTTTCCTATAAGCATTATATTTTTTAACAATAGAGTACCTTCCATAACAGATAAATAAAAGGGCGATGATATTCCATTGTCATTTTATTAATAATCAAATAATATTTAATTTTGAGAATTAGAGTTTCAGCGTTATTTAATTAATGGTTATTTGTTTAAATTAATTTAATAGATATTCAAAATAAATCTTAAATTAAGGGGTTTTGGGATATTTAATAGCCAAGGGGTTTTGGGGTTTTGGGG